TTCCAGCTACAGAAACTGTTTGAAAATTCAGGGCTTCTTCTGCACATATATGGGCATGAGCAACATTCTCAGAATAGGTGAAGTCAGAAAGATTATCACCACTTCCTATAATGAACTGCAATGAGAAATTGTTAATGTAAAAGCCACACTTAACAGTTGACGACAGCATCCAGGATGTTTAACACCTCAACTAACAGGAAAACAAACAAAGCTTCATAATGAAGCATAACAGAATTAGTCTCATAGCCAACATTCACAACTAGTTCAGAGAACCGTAATTGTGAATTTTAGACTGCCCCAACTATGACAGACTATGACGTCAGTACAGTTGTATTTATTACAATGCAAGTCTGAAATGGGCTTCAGATTAGACAACTTTAAGTTAAAGTTCAGTTGGAACTATGGCACCAAAACAGTTTATTAGCGTTCATTAGGTCCTTGGCATTCATTTCTTAATTACCTTTTATCCCTTTGTCTCTCCCTCTTTCTATGCATATTCGGTGTACTCTTTCATTCAACGTCATTGAAAATATAATTGTTCCCCTAGATCCAACACATCCAAATATTTCCACAGGATAATTAGAAATTAAAAGAACACCAAGAGAAGCCAACCAATTGCAAGAGAAAAATGACATTGTGGGCATCATTCATAGCCTTCCAGGGGGACAGGTAGTGTAAGAAAACTTGAATTTCTTAAACAACAAGGCAGTAAATGTTTCGAGGAATTAGAAAAGATGACCGAAGGAAATTTCAACCAAGTTACAAGAATTGGCAAAATGGTTTTTACTAAACTTCAATATGGCATTCGTTTTCATAGAACCAATCCCCCGCCCCACCCTAACATCCCCTAAGGCTCCATTGTTCAAATAACACCAAAACATATGATGGAAAAGGAAGCCCACCTTTGCCCAACCAGATATCCCTAATTTCAGAATGAATGGAACAAGCTCAGAGTCACCAGGTCCAAAAACATTACTGGAACGGAGTGCACATGTTGAAAGGCCATCGATGTCATTAGCCCCCAAGATCATTGCTTCTGCTTGAGCCTTAAGGTCACTTAACATGTTCTCAAACTGCAATATACCACCCTATTAAAATGTTTACTACCCGTAAATAAACAGGATATAACTGAAAATAAGAAAGAATCTCTCTCAAAACAGCATACTTTGCAAGGACATGATAAAGATTCATCTCCATCATGGATATCATGCAATCCATGAAAAACTACATCAGCAGAACTGTTGTATATTAGTCGTTTGACTCTACATTCTCGACAAGCATTGATGACATTTTTTGTACCTGATTCAAACATTTAGCAAACACCATTCCTATCACAGCCACTAGAGCAAACAAAATATTGAATGGCCAAGCGTCTCTATGATAATGGAAGACTACCTTGAACTGTAAGCATATAGCAACTATAAAAGTCATTTGCCTTCATGTCAGCAGCATGATCCATATAAAAAACCACTGAAGAACCTTCAATAACTGCAAAAGATTTATTTTTATGCTGCTGTTAATTTCTCAACATAACAAGTGTAAGATAATAGTAGACATTAATTGTAAATACTTTGCAATCAGTTACAAAGCTTAATTCTAGGGATAATTCATCATAAGAGAATTATTCTGTCATTAATTATAGAGCATCCTCATGTATATAAATACAGACTCTTTTGTCAATAATAAATAAACAAGTCCATCATTCCTCACTACATAGTATCAAAGCATTTTGGCTGCCATTTGATCATTGCAAATATTTCCTTCTTTTTTTTTCCCTGGGTTGCATTTTTCTAGCGAAAGCCAATTGGCAAGGCGTGTTTTTCATCACATACCAAAGGGATCTGCTAGTGACAACATCCACCAAAGAAGTTCAGAAACTTCCAATCGACCTTGTCCATAAGTTTGGCAAATTTTGGACACGCAAGCCAGGCACACATCCCATCCAAGTAGATTTGCTCCTCCTCTACTTGCCAACGCATGGAAGCACAAATGGTGTCCATTTCTCTAGTGACGACACGCATTTTTCAATCAGATTTGGTTACTTTCTCGGTACAAGTATCAACTTTTTGACATTCTATTGGTTGTGTGACAAGTGTTTTGCCTCTGTTTGTGTCTTGTGCTGCTTACTGCTGTTCCTAGTTGAAGTTGCTTATGTTTTCTTGAGGATTGGATGTTATCTTGCCTCCATTAGGTGGTATATGAAACTCTGTTTTCTCTATTTTTGAGTGTGGAATTTTTTGGTGTGTTTGTACACTGGTTGGGACTCAAGTTCCGTATCTCAGTGGTTGTTTGGGTATTAGTTGAGCTCTCCTTTGGCTTCTGATTTGGAATTTGCAATTTGTTTGTGTCGCTAACCTTGCTGCATGGCTAGTTGGTGCCGTTTGAATTATTGTTGGCTTTGTTCATAGTACTTTGAGTACGTTTTTGTGCTCTCTGCAATTGTCTATTTACCTTGATACATTTGGACTTTCGACATAGTTATGCCAGATAGTAAGTGACCTCTGATAACGAGATTGCTTAGTTTTGCAGGTGATGAGAGTTATTTAAGCCCATCATTCATCACTTCCATTGCAGAATTAGGTAACTCTGTTAACTGTCTTATATCTTTGCCATCCAAATGGGTAGTCAAGTGCCATAGATCATATGACAGGTAAACTAAGTCTCTTTTCCACTTTTCAATCATACACCATCACCTTTCATATCGCTTGAGCTCTCTACTACATCTTCAAAGTACCAAACAGAAACAAGAATGGAAATAATAGAATCCAGTTTTTCACCTTGGGTAATCTGACGTTTGTCGCTAAGGTGGACAGGAAAGTAAGAAGCGCGACCAGAAGAGAGAGCCCGGGCGAGGAGGGAGTGGTGCGAGTGATCGAGTTGGATGGACGGAGGGGAATCGGCAATGCGGACGATCCAGTTGCCTAGCTTCAACAGCCTTAAGACAAGCGATCTTCCGACAAATCCTGAGTCGCCTAGAACCACGCAAGTCTTATGGTTCAACCCTGCCAAGCGATCGTCTACCGCCATTTCCGCTGCGACAAAGAAACTGAGAGACGGAAAGAGCCTTGGCGCCGAAACTGTGCCTGGATCTCGTATTTGTCTTGAACGGAAAATTGAAAAAAAAAAAAAAAGGACAGCCAATCCGTTAATGTTTGTTCCAGCTCCAGCGGTGGGACCGCTCCCGCAAGCTCCGAGGCCGCGCGGGGGCGACTAATCATTTGTCTAGGTATTAAAAAAATTGGTTTAGTTTTAAAATACTGGTAACTAGGATAGATTAGGCATTTAAAATTCTAAAAAAAATTGCAGTAATTTTTTTCCTGCATTTGGATCCAATTTATGAAATATTGTGTATTCAAATAAAGGATTTATTTTCTGAAAACTTGCATATGTAACTCGGATAGGACTAAAAGGACAGGGTAGGATATCTTGCTTGCGGCCTGGCCCTGTCCTTAACCCTATCTAAAAGTATCTTTTTATATTTTTGGATTGTATCTTTTTGGGCTAGACTGGACTTTTTTTCTGGGCCGTACGGGCATTGTGAACACCTATAATGTGAATTCACTTATAAGATAGTGCCCTCAATTTTTCCCCATGTCTACGTAAACTAACACTGGGTTCAAATTCTTTGGAACTTGATCTTGGCAAAGCAAGAGTGAGTATAAATAGGCGTAGATGGGAGCTACTTCTCATCACAAAATTACATGGAGCACAGAGACTTCAACAGGTTCATTATAACGAGTCGACGTTTTGCTCCCTTCTTCATCGCTGGCAAGCAGCAAGCAGGTTGATATTGCGTATTGCGACAGGCGACCTCATTATCATTTTTGATCATGATTTCTAAGCACATACCATCAACCACATGACTGTTGAGCAAACTATCATCCGTGCAGGCTCTCCAATCTAGTACGACGAGGTATGCGCTTGGTTCCGTTGTATGGCCTCATCATGCAGAAGCCAAGATGGGAGCTTCTTATGCGTTTGGAATATTCCGTTCTATGGCCTACTTTTGCATACGTAGTATCAGCTTAGGGCAATATATTCTGATCTTCGTATCATGCTCTGCTGATTCACGATCGTGACGCATGTTCATACATGCAAGTTACCACTCTTACGGAAGGAGCTTTGGCCTATAGTGATGAGTTTGAGAGCCCGAATGTTTCTGCTAGTGACTCACGCCATCCTCCTGATAGTGTTCGACATTGGCTATCCCTGATCTTCGCCTTCCCTCCCTTGCTTTGGGGGTTTCTCCTTTACAGCAGGCTGGTAATTACACACATACAAGCAGAGAGAATGATGAGATAGTCCTTATTCAATGTTCTTCCCACACCCCCGGTGTCTTCAACATCATGGTCAGTCATTGAAGCATCAAGAACTAGTCCTCGGGCCATTTTGAAACAATCACAGCATTCCTAAAATCCCTCCCATGGGAGAATCTCAAGTCTAGTCGAGATGACTTGGTAAAACAAAACAAAACAAAACAAAAATACACGAAAATCTAATAGAAATTGAGCTTTGATCTGCCAAGTCCAATGAGCTTACAGATGCATGCCATATGTACAAAATAGAAAACCTATAAATCAATTAAAGCCAATAACTTTCTTTTAATAATTGTATTTAATTTCCCTGCTTGTAGGTAACTTTTCCTTTTTATAATTGTGCTATTTTGCCAATCATGCAGTGGCTGTTTCATCTATATGTTTCACTCTCTTTAGTTTTATTTACAAGATACATATGATAAGGTAGCTTCATTCTATTTATAAAATACATTTCAAAACTGTTTGAAATTTTAACCAATTTTCTTAATCCCACCAACTACTTAATATATTACTGTATTAATTATCTTTTCCATTCCTCTATCTTCCTTAACTCACTCTCTTCTATAAATAAAACTATGTTTTGCTCAATAAATTTTAATTAATTTTAACCAACTTTTTAAATTATTATTTAAATTTTATATATAAAGTCAGAGTAAGTACTATTTACTCCTGATTCTATTAGAATATCGTAACTAAAGGGGCAAAAAACCCTTTTAACGTGGATCATATAAAAAAAGAATTAATTATATTTTACATATTTACACTGTAGCAGCCGAAAGAATCATCCTAAACAAGTCCAAGATTCCCCTTTCTTCAAATCATTCTAACTTTCACCTACTAAATGAAATACCACCTCCACTTCTAAATATAAGATAATTTGTAGTACAATTTGTACTATAAACTAGTATTACTATAATCTAGTATATGAATCAAGAATATATCCAGCATACGTTGACGGAGGCAAGCTGCGTCAGGCCAAAAAGTTGGTCTTCTACGAAAGTCAGCTCCAAATAAAGGGGTTTCGAAATTGTGTTGTCATAGCATTTGATAGAAACTTGACTAGATTTTCTCTCTCAACTTGCTTCTCCTTCTTGAGTTCAAGGTGGCGAACCTGGAATTGGAAACAACCAGCATTAGTCAATACTGCCCACCAATATATAAGATTTATTAAGAAAATTTATTTTAATCTTAAATATAAAACCTCAATTTACTTTGTTTTTTAAATTTAGAATTTTTCCCAAACTATCCTTATTAAATGCACAGAAATAAATCGATTTTTATCAAAAGGTGCTCCAATGCAAATAATAATTAAAGAGGATAGTTTAAAAAATAAACACAAATTTTTTATAAATAACTAATTTAACTAATTACTTTAATTTTTGTAAATTAATTATCTAACTCCTATATTAAATATTTAAGATAGCACTACATTTTGTTAGGATCAAATTGCATGCTTTTGTACGTGCAATACGCGCCAACAAGCGCTGATTTTCTTGACAAGTGATGAACTTAATGAGTAACTGATTAATTTTAGCTTTGTGAACCTATAATCAAAATTAGTTGTATTAAAAGAAAACGTCGTCGAGCTTTGAATTCAAATCAAATGTGTTCGAACTGGAATGAAAATCAATTTGCTGTGTAAAGTGGTCCTTATTTGATAGCCGGTGCAACTCACAAGCTTTTCAGAAGGAAGAACAAGCGAAAATAGTGGGAGGAATTTTAGCAAATTTTTCCAATCTTGTTGAAGGCAAAGTTCTAAACAGAAACATTTTCATTTTGAAAATTAGAAACACGGATTCCAAATGGAAAATGCACCTTGGAGTGGATCCCTAGGAGCTTAGACAAGATTTCCAGGTTAGAGATTGAGGGAAAACATGCTCTATCATTTCGGACTGACCATAAATAAAAGCATATGGATAATCTGATGGGTTTTTAATTATGCTAAATTAGTTATTGGGGATTTCTGTGACCGAAACAGGCATGATATGAGGATGATGAATAATACAGTCCTAATCCCCAGTATCGAAAGTCTCTATTGATCATCCTCCATATTCTTCTAAGTGCTCGTTTGAAATCACTTATATAAGCACTTATAAATACATTTCACATAAGTCAAGTTCTATAAATCACTATGGAAAAGCTACTTATAAATCATTCTAAACAAGCCCTAACTGGACCTTTTTCATACTTCTCTCCAAATGTTTTGTATTTCAACCTAGAACAATGACCTAATTGAACTCAAAAAATTACCTAATTAATGCAAGCACAGATATTGGAGGATGTAGATGAGCCGAAAAGTATATATGCTATTAAATTGCAAATTCAAGAGGAAACACACTTACGATTTCCCAAAAGCATTATGCGTTACCTTTACAGAATCGGTCTGATCAGTGATGATAGCAAGACATTTGATATCATGTTCATTGGCGTACTCATACTGCTCTGTGAGACTCGGATCAGGGACGGGAACAAATTCAGCCTGTCGACACAGAGATCTATGAGCATGAAGCTAAAGAGAAAAACCCACTTAATTTCGCAAACTAGGTTGCTTATATTTCTTTACCTTAAAGTCTTTCTCCCATAATTCAGCCACTAGCTCCATGCGCTCTATTAGCAGACCACCACCTCCTCTTGAACAAACAAGAATATTGGTGCTGGCTTCATTTCTGAAACAGTTAAGCAAGTCAAGTGTGTGCGTATGTGTGTTTGTAGATGCAAAAGAAATGATAATTTGAATTCTAATGATTTGTAAGAAGTTAAAATTGCAACATCAAGCTCAGCGCTAAAGCACACTCACTTAATGGGCTTAAAATCTATCGGACAGTTCTGAATTATTGTCTCTAGCGCAAGGCTGGCTCCTACGCCACTGGGAGGATTTGCTTTCTGGGTAAATCAGAGAGCACTTAACATAAAATTCGTGGACATAAGAAACCAAAAATTGTCTAAGCAAGTAGAAGGCAGCTTACCAGCGCCGAGCCATAGGTAAGTAAAACATGCAAATATATCAATTATGAACCACAGACACTATAACTTTTGGCACCGATATAAACTTGAGGATTTTTACCAAATTGTTTTTCATTGATTCAACCATGATAGAAGGAGTCAACTATACACAGCAAGACCCACAAGCAATTAGGAGAATAATCGACAGCAATAAAAGGTAAATCACCTAATAAGCCTAACAACAACAGCAACAAGAAGCTTTATCACCTAATAATCCCAAGGGTACAAAAATAATAGGGAAATTGCATTCAAGTCCCAAGTAAGATAAATTATTACTACAAGGTCCCATAAAATCATCAAGTAAATCTGAAGTCCCAAGGGACTTGTAAGAGAATCTAATTATGAATTTACCAAGCTATCTACATTGATTAGTTTAGTTGTCAATACATGTCATGACAATTGTTAATATAGCTTGTTTAGTTGTCAATGATAAGTATATGGTGCAGGTAGACATTAGTTATTGTTACATACCGTGATAATTGTTAATATAACTACTATAGTTGTCAATGACAAGTGTGTTGTGCAAGTGGACATTAGTTGTTAATATATGCCTTGATAGTTGTTAATATAACTAATGTAGTTGTTAATGACAAGTATATGGTGCAAGTGGATATTAGTTGTTAATATATGCTACGATAATTCTTAATATAACTAGTTTATTCGTCAATGACAAGTATGTGGTGCAAGTAGCTAGACGTTAGTTGTTAATATAACTAGTGTAGTTGTCAATGACAAGTGTGTGGTGCAAATAGATATTAGCTGTTAATACATGCCACGATAACTGTTAATATAACTAGTTTAGTTGTCAAGGGACTTTATAGTGATAATTACTCAATAACAGCCTCTCACTGTTAGGTCCCTTGAGACTTCAAATTAATTTGAATATCTCAAGGGACTTTATAGTGATAAAATCTCGTGGTTAGGGCTCTACAGTAATTTTCCCAAAATAATATTTACAGTAGATGTTCTTTACACTCCCCCTCTAGTTGGATTATAGGTACTGATCATGAGCAACTCCCCAACAAGTCCTCCAAGTGTATGTCACGGAGGCCCTTTAGAGCAGCCTGTTCCTTGGTAGGAATATAGGTCTTATAGATAACATCCTCTTCAACTTTCCTGCTGAAGTGTCTATCAACTTCAACATGCTTTGTCCTGTCATGTTCAGCAGGATTCAAAGATATGGTCATAGTAGCATTGTTATCACATTAGACTTTTATTGGTACATCTAAGTCTAACTGCAGTTCCTTTAATAACTGCTGCAACGAAAATCCTTCACATATACTCAGTGCCATGGCTCTAAAAAATTCAGCTTCTGAAATGTTTCTACCCACCACATTTTCTACTTCTGTATGTGACAAGATTTCCTCCTATGAAGAAGATCTCCTAACTTCTTTTGACCAAGCCTACTTAGCATCTATTTGGTTTTCTTTTTCAAATAGCAATCTTTACCCAAGTGATTCTTTCAGCTATCCTAGGATACTGTAGACTGCTTCAAAGTGAGCTTCCTTAGGTTGGAGCATATGTCAACTAAAAGACTAACCACAAAAGCTATATATAGGATAAAGATATTAATTTACCAGCTAATCTCTAATGTTTCTCCTTGTCAACTTCTTCGCCAACATCTTTTGATCTCCTCTAGCTTTTTTATAGGTGCACTACTTGGCTTACACCCTAGCTTTAAGACCCATTCATTACTCTTCTAAGGAAATATATAACTTGTCTTAGGTCTTTGACTTCAAACTCTTTTGCCATTCCCCTTTTAGGTGATCCATCTCTTCTGCATCATCCCCAGTCGACTTACATATACTATTATAATAGTTTTCCTGCCTCCTCTATGTTTATAGAACGTGGTGTGGTTTGAGGTGCTCGCTTATAGCCTTCCGTTTTAAGGACTGGTGTGAATTTTTAAAACCACGCCTAGGGAGATTGCGTCAACTTTTGTAAAGACTGTTTCAGTCCACATGCTCTCTCTGATCTCGTTTGTTGAAACCAGAAGGCATTGTTACATAGACCTCTTCAGTGGGATCCCTATTCAGAAATCCATTCTTCACATCAAATTGCTGAAGTGGCAAATAGTAATTGGCAGCCAAGAAGAGAAGGACTCTAATGGTATTTAGCTTGACAATAGGACCAAAGGTTTATATATAGTCAATGCCATGGGCCTATGAGAAGCCTCTGGCCACTAACTAAGCCTTGTATCTTTTAATTTATTTGCATGAAATTTCACTGCGAACATGCGGTTGCAATCCATGGGCTTCTTTCCCTTGAAAGGTTTATGACATCCCAAGCGCCACTTGTCTCTAAAGCTCTTATTTCCTCCATCATAACTTCCTTCCATTTAAAAACTTCAAGTGCCTTATCAAGGTTAGTAGTGAAAGCACGACATCATAAAGAAGGAAACTGTTCAGAGGGGCAAGGAGGAACTTGGTTTCCCCTGGAGAGCAAAAGCAAAATCAAGATCATTAGCTTCATCATTATTCACTTCATTTACATGGGTACTTTCTCAATTGAATCAGATTCAGGGCATTGGTTCTGGCTTCTTTTGTTTTTCTTTTCTTTTAGTTCTTTTGGAGCGCATAGTTCTGACTTTCTTAGTGCTTCATATGTGAAGTTTTCTTTCTGATTCAAGTTCTTTCTTCATTAGTAGGTCCATAGTTCTTTTCCTGTTGGCTTCCTACGTGTCTTCTAAATTTGAATTCCCTTTCAGGTCAAGCAACTGAGAAGGAGACAAAGGCATAAGATTAGGTGTAATGGGAGATGAATGAGACAGAGGAGTAGGATTCAGTGTAATGGGGAGACGCAATGAGAGGTGAGGTGTAGGGAAGGAGGGTATTGCAAGCGCAATTATGGGTTCATTGCATCAAATGTTAGCTTCTCCCAAATTCTTCCCATGAATTAAAGACTTGGTGTAGCATAATGTACTCCCTTCGGTCCATAATATAAGAGGTTAGTTAACTTTTCTCACATACCAAAAGATAGAAATTTAGTCATTAAACTTGTCCTAAAATGATAAAGTTACTTTTAATGTTACACTTTTACTATCTCTCGTCTCTTTCCTATATCTAATATGGGCGAAAGTGCAAGAATCACATTAGTTATCCTAACAGTGACTTATATTTCGGATCACAATTTTCTTCCAATCAACATCTTATATTATGGATCAAAAGGAGTATCGTCACAGAATGCAACATCTCTACTTTCAAAGGGATGATTAGACATAGGATTATAGAACCTGTACCCTCTCTTTGATGGGCAAAACCAAGAAAGATACAATTTACAGCCCCGGGTTCAAGTTTGGATCAGTTACACGAGTGGATAAGGACAGAGGTTGCAAATCCAAACACTTTTAAGTTATTTTCAAGTCAGGATTGGGGGAAGGTTTCACACGAATTTTTTCATTGATGTGTCAAATAAAAGGACTTTACTGGGCATTCTGTTGATTAAGTAGCACTCAAAACTGCAAGTGCTTTTATGGATGACCCTAAAGATAAGCACTCATGTAATGGTTGAAAACTCGGAATATTCAATACCATCGTCCATGTACAGTAATTGGATATTCATATTGAACTGAATCTATATCATTTTCAGGAAATTGACAAACACGTGATGCCTCTCTTGTTTCTTTTAGGAGATAAACACCAGGGTGACCCATTCTCCAGTGTGAAAGCATAAGATCATAATTCTCGAAGACCTAGAATTATATACATTTCTCGAAGTTGGAATACTCACCCTAGAGAAGTAAAAGTCCCGCACACTATACTCAAATCAATGTGATATAACCCTGCCAAATAGTTACTGGATAAAGCAAAAAAGAGAATAACAGCATATATAAATGAGGGAAACCCTTCAGCTTTGATATTGATACTCAAGAAACCGAGTCAGATTTACAAGTGGCTTCTTTGACTCTGGTCAAAACCCTCTACAACTCCAAGGATACTCTAAACAGAAACAAGCACCGAAATAGGGTCTAAAAACTGAATAGAAGGATCAACATAACACACTGAACCTTCTCTGACTTTCAAGAGGCCACAGACTCTTCCTTACCACAGTCAATCTCAAAATAAGTCCTAAAACTCTCTCTGTAAACCACAAGACAGTATAACTCAAAAAGTAACTTTCACACTTCCCAAACATAGCCCCAGGACCCAGGACTAGGCTAAGAGCAGACTAGCTCATCATTTCTAGTTCTTTATAATATGGAGCCTTCGAACAATTCTTTGGACCAGTAGATTCATTCCCCTCTATTCCTTGTGCCTTCCTCGATTTCCTCCCATGTGTTTTATTAACACCAGCAATCTTATCACAATGTGTTTAAGCATGAAATTACAAAATCTTTGGATCAATTTTCCAGCAAATGCGACCCATTTTTCATGGTTAAACTTTACGATGTAGCAGTATAGGATGATTACAGTTTCTAGAAGCATCTTTGACTGGCAGATAAATACAAAGGGAAAATAAATTAGTATAACAACCACAAGTAGATATAAGATGCGCACAAAAAAACCTACATAATGACGGTCCACATCTGATGAAGCACATAGTCATAGCAAC